GCCCCTGCGGAGGCTGCCGGCGGCTGCGCGGGGCCCCGGGCGGGCCCGGAGCCGGGAGCGGCCCTCCTCCGCCGCGCCTCTGCGGGCAGGGGCTGGGCGCGCGCGGGCAGGGGGCTGCCGAGGCCGCATGTGTGCGCCTCAGGGCGGACGACCCCCCCCCCCGTTCCCGGAATGCGCTGGATGCCAGCTCCCATCAGCGCCAGCCCGCCGGGGCCGCTGCCGGGAGGGAAGGCTGCCCGAGGACCAGGGGAGTCTGGCCCCGCGGGCGGCTGCGAGAGGAGGCCAGCGGGCGCCCTTCCCCGCGAGGCGGCCGCTGCTCCTCGCCCACTCCTCACCTTTGGGAGGGGGCCGTGGCCGCATCCTGAGCAGCTGCGCGGAGCCGAGCGCTGTGAGCAGCATCAGGCCCCCTCGTGCGACCCCCGCCTGGCCTCACGTGGCCCTCATGCCTGGTCAGACCCTCCGGGTGCTCCCTGTGCTGAGCGCCGCACCAGCAGGGCGCTTGGCCGTGCGTGCATTTAAGCAGCCTGCCCTCACCTGGCAGGGCTGGACTGCAGTTCCCATCATTCCCAGCCAGGGGACAGGGGGAGACCAGGGCAGGCTGGTGTAGTGGTTTCTTTCTTTCTCCTCATTAGAGGGGTGCAGCCACATAAATTTGAATTTCCCGGATGGATGGATGGATGGATAGATGTCCGTATTGGCACATCTGTATACATGTACTCATCAGGCCTGATGGGACATGGGTGTATGTCATGCTTGCAAGAGCGGATTCCCTGTTGCTTCAGCCACTGCAACGTGAAAATGGACTCTGTTTAATCTGCATTAGAACAAAAAAGGAGAGGGTGCTTCATGTTCTTTATTCTAACAGAAAATCAGTTTGGCTTCTTTCTGCCACCCATATCGCCATGCGTTTCGTGTGTCCGCCCTCCCTCCTCGTGCTATTTTTAAATGACAATTTTCTTTATACTTGAAAAAGTGAAAAAAACATCCTGAGCATAGTGAAGAATGGGCTGGCCTCTTTGTTCCAGACAGGATGGGCCGAGGCAAAGTTGGCTGAAGGAACAGCAGCTGCACCCATCCTGTGTCGGCCAAGAAAAGGCGACCTTGCCGATAGCTCTTCACGTATTCCTTACGCAACACAGGAAATCCAGTCACCAAGGTGTATTAATTTACAACTCAGTTAGCAGTTGACCACACTGATATTATCATCATTACATTACATTGTCGTTGGTGTTGTTAGTCGTGAAGTCGTGTCCAACCCATCGCGACCCCATGGACAACATTCCTCCAGGCCTTCCTGTCCCCCACCATCCCCGGAGTCCACTTAAGCTCACGCCGACTGCTTCAGTGACTCCATCCAGCCACCTCATCCTCTGCCGTCCCCTCCTTCTTTTGCCATCTATTGTTCCCAGCATTAGGCTCTTCTCCAGGGAGTCCTTCCTTCTCATTAGATGGCCAAAGTATTTGAGTTTCACCTTCACTATCTGGCCTTCTAAAGAGCAGTCAGGGTTGATCTCCTCTAGGACTGACCGGTTTGATCGCCTTGCGGTCCAAGGGACTCGCAGGAGTCTCCTCCAGCACCACAATTCAAAGGCCTCAGTTCTTCAGCGTTTCCTTATGGTCCAGCTTTCATAGCCATATATTGCAACTGGGAAAACTATAGCCTTGACTATACGCACTTTTGTTGACAGTGTGATGTCTCTGCTTTTTAGTATGCTGTCTAGATTTACCATAGCTTTACTCCCAAGGAGTGTCTTTTAATTTCTTGGTTGCAGTCCCCATCTGCGGTGATCTTGGAGCCCAGGAAAATAAAATCTGTCACTACCTCCATTTCTTCCCCATCTATTTGCCAGGAAGTGAGAGGACCAGATGCCATGATCTTAGTTTTCTTAATGTTGAGTTTCAAGCCAACTTTTGCACTCTCCTCCTCCACCCGCATCAAGAGGCTCTTCAGTTCCTCTTCACTTTCTGCCATTAGAGTGGTATCATCTGCATATCCGAGGTTGCTGATATTTCTCCCAGCAATCTTAATTCCAACTGCTGATTCATCTAGGCCCGCCTTTCTCATGATGTGCTCTGCATATAAGTTAAATAGGCAGGGCGACAGTATACAGCCTTGCCAAACTCCTTTCTCAGTTTTGAACCAATCAGTGGTTCCGTGCCCAGTTCTCACTGTTGCTTCTTGACCCACATATAGGTTTCTCAAGAGACAAATAAGATGGTCTGGTACTCCCATCTCTTTAAGAACTTGCCACAATTTTTTGTGATCCACACAATCAAAGGCTTTAGCATAGTCAATGAAGCAGAAGTAGATGTTTCTGGAACTCCCTAGCTTTCTCCATGATCCAGCGTATGTTGGCAATTTGATCTCTAGTTCTTCTCCCTCTTCAAAATCCTGTCTGTACTTCTGGTAGTTCTCAGTCCACATACTGCTGGAGCCTAGCTTGTAGGATTTTGAGCATCACTTTGCTAGCATGTGAAATGAGTGCAGTGGTGCGGTAGTTTGAACATTCTTTGGCATTGCCCTTCTTTGGGATTGGAAAGTAAACTGACCTTTTCAAATCCCGTGGCCACTGTTGAGTTTTCCAAATTTGCTGGCATATTGAGTGTAGCACTTTTACTGCATCGTCTTTTAAGATTTTGAATAGCTCAGCTGGAATACTGTCGCCTCCACTA